TTCACTCATCTCTAATAGCCATCATGTGTTGCCAGGGTCAAATAAATCTGCCTTGACGCTTTCAGAATCAACAGTGTTGGCTACTGTATACTTGCAATAAATATCAATGAAACTGTTGCTTTAACCAATCAGATTTTGAGTTGGCGACACTGGAGCCATCTAGCAGGCATACAATAACCTATGCCAGAAAAACCACTGGACAGACTCAATTATATAAATTTTTTTACCACCAACCCTGGCTAATCCAGGCCCCTCATTTCCATATCCCCATTTTTTCTGTGCTAAATTTTTTAAGTTTTAGCCGAAAACTGCTGGATTAATTCAGGTAGGACCTCAATGAAGGCCTATGTGTGAAATGCATGGCTCACCACTGGTCTGCCACATTTTTTTATAAGCGTATGTTTTCTAATTGTTTTTTTTTATGTCTAAAGGGCCCGTTAATAAAGCAGGCTGAATTGGCCCTAAGCCAAGATGGCTAAGATGAGGGATTCACCCACAACTGAATGTAGAATAGATGGGTGGCAGTTATGCAAGCATTGCAAAAATCATTATCCAAATGTAGGTTAAAAACTCAATGCACAATGCTTTGTGGTGCACTGTAGAACAGGTGGGTTCTATGGATGCTTGGCGATGCCATTCAAAATAAATGGCAATTCAATGCATTACTGTGCTTGGACTGCTACTGTCTGCTGTAGTATTTAAATGTTGTGAGCTGATTCAATCAAACACAAGAAGTTGTAATTAGCAGGACAATGCAATGTACATAATCCATAGCACCTTATTAGAATTAATGTTGTATCTGAACACAGTGGACTCAAATTGAATTGGTTGCTGTGGTTTTCAACCAGTGTGTAAGTAAAGCTTGCCATACACGAATAGGTTTGTATTATTTAGCCTGCAGGCTGAGCAAAATAAATCTTCCAGATTCCTCCTAACAGTGCGAATGGACAAATCCCACCTGCCAGGCAATTGTATCCTGATTGGATGCAGATGCCGTTCAGCCAACAAGTTCCTTCAACAAAAAAATGATTAAACAATTGACTTTTACAGCCATAAACTGCTCAAAATTCAGTTGGGTCAGCAGGTATTGTCCGAAATTCGAGCATAGTATGGCTAGCTTTAGTACGTTTTATTTTACCTTCCACATATGCATCTTCATAACAGTACTTGATACTATTTCCTGTAAATGACAGAAGATACTAAATGTATATGTGTTTCACCACACACCCTACCTCACACAGTCTAATAGACCACCAGATTCGATCACCGGCAGATGACATGAGCAGTCTAGGAATAAGGCTATCGGTTACTTTAGTTTCAACACTCATTATGACTAAGCAATATGAGTTAAAAAGAACAATATATTTGTAGAAGCAAGCTAGTGAATGGTTTTTTGGAACGTGTAAGTGGAAATATAACTCTCATATTCAGTTTAAAGTGGAATTTAATATTTATGATCAGGATGGAAGAAAGTGCAATTATTCATGTTAAGCCACAACATTGCCAGTTTTTTGGATGACTTGAAGCAAACCTGTAACATGAATTTAGTGTATAAAACTAACAATATATATCTGAAGCACAATTACAAGAGCTATCTGACTGCTAGTAACTTTTATGTTCTCCTAATTGCTTGCACTTAGGCTGGCCATACATTATACAATTATCTTCCAATTTTCTGCCCAATTTCCTTTAGATTTACCTTCAACTGTGTAGTGCAAGGGCCTGCCTAATTGGATACAACTGAAAGTGTTGTTTAGGTTTGTCCTCCTATTATATGGTTTTTGGTAAATCTAAACCAAAAATCTCCAGATAATTGTATAATGTATGGCCAGCCTTAGTGTCCATGTGTGGTTAATTTAGAGCCAAACCCTTCCCACCATGCAACAATCTAAAGCCAGAGCATTTCTTGATTGTTGTTAAATGTTTTGGTCAGATATCAGAAGGACAAGGGCAGGAATTATTTACAAGTCAAAATACAGAGCTATGTGGAGGGTGTGCTCAGGATTGAGGGTGTCCCCAGTTCACTGTGTAATTTGAAAATTTACGCCCCTTTTGCACAGGGTGGACTCTGCTAAGATCATCAGGGGATCTGTCCACTGATCCCCTGCTAATCAGAGCAGAGCTGGTGGATGACAGGTCTATGTCTGCCCAGTTTCTGCAGAATGGACATGGACAGAGCCAGTTCTGTTTTATGAATGGTTGGGTGTAAATGAACTCCACAGCCCATTTACACCCTACTGCCCTCCATACTGATCTGCCTAGATGGAGGGGGACAGATCCCCTTCCATTTCTTTATAGCAAATCAGATTGGAGGTAGGTGGGTTTAAATGTCTATTTACACCCACTGGTCCATAGGGATACATGGACCATCTTATCAGGTCTGCCTGAAAAACTGACAGGTGGAGCTGATTGGATCACTTGTGTCAAATCTGCCTTAAATCTGAAGTCCAATCTGCTTATATTTTGCCTTCCCTGGTTCCTCCTTTTCCCATCAATATGTTATTGACATTTTTAAATAAAACCTTTGAATTCCATTACAGACCTTATCTTAGACCCAATGATGTCACTACTAGGCCCCTGTGCTCCTCTGTGCAAAGCAGTCAGATTATTGTTGGAGGTAGGAGCATGTGGGAAGGGCTAACTGGGTGGTAGACAGGCAAGAAAACGTCTGGCAATTTTCTGGTTTCATATAATAAATAGTGATACGTATAGCAATGTGGTGATACTCCCAAGTAACCATATGTAAAATAAGTCACTTCAGAGTTATGTGACAAGGCAATACAGATATGCATAACGTACAGGTGGCAGTGTGCTTGAGGAAAGCTATATAAACAGGTCCTCTTGGCCAATATAAAGTAGCTCCTCAATAGGGTGCTGGGTTGACCTCCTGGACGTATAGCATGTTGGGTAGGTGCAGTGGCAGAAAGAGTCCTGGTTTGCTAACAATGTATTGCAGAACTTGTTAAACAGTACAAACAGGCCAAACGGGGAAGCTCACCTGACCACGGCACTTACAACAGTTCAGTTCAGAGCAGAGAATGTGGATCCAAACTGCAGACAGCGTCTGTCACAGAGAAGAGAGTGCAGTCTGACCAGTCCAACCCAAGGTGGAGCTTCCTGAAGAGGTTAACATAGGTCCTACTCTTTCCCTACTCCACCGGAACCTCTCCCTAACTGTAGTGCTGCCCTTGACAGGTGGGTATCCTGTCTCTACACTATCAAATCTCATGAAGCACGCCAAAACCTGGCTTCAGGGATTTAAAAAGACTCTGCATGACCCAAGATGGCTTCCAGGGTCACATGGATCCAGCACATCCAACCGGATCACTACTCCATACAGAAACCCAGTTTCTCCCAACTTGCTCCAGCTGCATTGCCACAATAGAAAAGTCTTTAGGGGTTTTCTGGACAATCCCTACACTGTCCCTACTTGTCAGGAACTTTTCCCTGTTCTAGATCTTTTTCTAAGCAGCATGTGCGCTGTCCTTCCTTAGATAGAAATTTAATGCCAAACTCTAAGCAAACATTTTTTTTAGTTTTGGAAAAGGGCTAGACTCACTGAAACAGGAAGATACAAACAGCAATAAAAACTCGACAGAAATTCTAGATATTTCCCACTCTACTAGAAAAGGTGTATTACTGTTTCTTTCCTCTTTGGAATGCCTACATACTGGCACCATAGCAGGAAGTGAGAGGAAATCTTAATAGTGACACAGAAATAAAAACTTGAAGCAGGTTGTAACTCCTCCTAATACTTTCTGTCCTGGGAAAAAAGGTCAGCAAGATGAAACTAAAAAAAAATGTTGGCATTAGATATGCTTTCTAAACCTAAGAACAAATACAGTGTCTTGTATTGTACTGCACTAGGCTGTTATAGTTCATTAGTATGCTGGTATCTAGTGGTGGATATAGGCCATTGCAACTTTATTATTTATTTTGGTATCTTCCTCTGTCCTCCCCTTCTGTTTAGTGCTAGATAGGTTAGTCCTAAATAGACCATAACCACTTTATCCATGTTACCTCAGTCAGTGTTAGTTCTTCACAGAGACCAGGCTTAAGAAAGTCATTGTCTTTTTAAACTTCAAAAGACTGGAAAACTAACCGCTGTATTGCAATAAGCTGAAGCAGGGGCGGACTGACAACTCATGGAGCCCCCGGGCAATAGGGGATCATGGGGCCCCTGTGTCCTTGCCCAAACTCAAAAAAGCCTATGAAAAAGGTACCAGGGGCATCTCATGGGGCCCCCTACTGACCTCGGGCAGTGCCCGAGTTTCCAAATGGTCAGTCCGCCCCTGAGCTGAAGTAAAATTGCATTGGATTCCACTTCTGTGTCTTATTGAAGTGTTCAGCTGCCGGTGGATGGTGCCAAGTACACAGGTCACCATACTGTGCGGACAGACTGGGTCTAAGGAGGTATGTCAATGCATAAAGCAGCTTTTGAAACAGAATATGGAATACATTGCAGCTTACCAGTTATTAGATGTGATGGCTGTTAATCCCAGAAGCGCAGGGGCGGACTGACCATTTGGAGACTCGGGCACTGCCCTAGGGCCCGGGGTCAGTAGGGGCCCCATGGGATGCCCCTGGTACCTTTTTCATAGGCTTTTTTGAGTTTGGGCAAGGACACAGGGGCCCCATGATCCCCTATTGCCCGGGGGCCCCATGAGTTGTCAGTACACGCCTGCAGAAGCGTGTAGTAAGTGTGTGGTAACATGCTTACTCCTCTTCTTATCTTTATAGCTAGTAAGTACTCAGCTAGCTTTATTTCTGGCAGGACAAACAAGTATAACAAAATCTTTTCATTGGTAAAATCAACAGACCAAGAGCTAGGGTTTACTACATTGTAAGCTCTATGTGGTATCTATTGTGGAGTAGGAAAAGGATCCATTTTATTTTTTAGGGAAAATGCTACTACTTATGAGAAATATAGGCTTGCAGCAGTAAACAGCTAATTTAATGAAAAATTAGAATTCATATCATTTATGCAGTATTGATATATCTGTCTTGAAAATTTTTATAAGCATCATGTAATAAAATGACAAACCCACTTAAAATAACTCATGGAGCTTAACCACTTGCCCTCCAGAGGATTTACCCCCCTTCCTGACCAGGCCATTTTTTTTTGCAATAAGGCACTGCGTTACTTTAACTAACAACTGAGCAGTCATGCACTGGGGCGTACTGACCATTTGGAAACTCGGACACTGCCCGAGGGCCCGGGGTCAGTAGGGGGCCCCATGAGATGCCCCCCGGTACCTTTTTCATAGGCTTTTTTGAGATTGGGCAAGGACACAGGGGCCCCATGATCCCTTATTGCCCTGGGGCCCCATGAGTTGTCAGTCCGCCCCTGGTTATGCAGCACTGCACCCAAATTAAATTTATGTCCTTTTTCCCCATAAATAGAGGTTTCTTTCAGTAGTATTTGATCGCCCCTGTGGTTTTTTTTTTTTTATTTTTTTCTCTATAAACAAAAAAGACGGACAATTTTGAAAAAATAATATTTTTTACTTTTTGCTATAAAACATATCCAGTAAAAAAATTTAAAAAATCTAATTACGGCATAAATTTAGGCCAAAATGTATTCTGCTCCATGTCTTTGCTAAAAAAAAAATCCAAATGCATGTAAATTAATTGGTTTACATGAAAGTTATAGCATCTACAAATGGCGATATATATACAGTTGCAAGAAAAAGTATGTGAACCCCTTGGGATTACGTGGAGTTTTGCATGAATTGGGCATAAAATGTGCTCTGAACGGCATCTAAGTCACAACAATAGAAGAACACAGTCTGCTGAAGATAATACTACACAAATATTAGATGTTGCCATGGTTTAATTGCACATAACATGTAAACATTCACAGTGCAGGGAGGAAAAAGTATGTGAAGCCCTAGCTTAATGACTTCTCCCAGAGCTAATTGGAGCCAGGAGTGAGCCAACTTTGACTCCAATCAGTGTGATGATATTGGATGTGTTGCTGACAGCTGTCCTGCCCTTAAAAAAACACACACCTGTTTTGGGTTTACTGGTTTCAAGAAGCACTGTCTGATGTGAACCATGCCTCGCAGAAAAGAGCTATCAGAAGACCTACGATCAAGAATTGCTGACTTGCATGAAGCTGGAAAGGGTTACAAAAGTATCTCCAAAAGCCTTGATGTTCATGTATCCACGGTAAGACAGACTGTCTACAAATGGAGAAAGTTTAGCACTGTTGCTACTCTCCCTAGGCATGGTCGTCCTGTAAAAATGACTGCAAGAGCACAGCGCAGAATGCTGCATGAGGTAAAGAAGAATCCCAGAGTGTCAGCTAAAGACCTACAGAAATCTCTGGCACATACTAACATTTTTGTTGACACATCTACAATAAGGAAAACATTAAACAAGAATGGAGTACATGGGAGGACACCACGGAGGAAGCCATTGCTGTCCAAAAAGAATATTGCAGTACGTTTGAAGTATGCAAAAGAGCACCTGGATGTTCCACAGCACTACTGGCAAAATATACTGTGGACAGATGAAACCAAGATTCAGTTGTTTGGGAAGAACACACAACACTATGTGTGGAGAAAAAAAGGCACAGCACACCAACATCAAAACCTCATCCCCATTGTAAAACATGGCGGAGGGAGCATCATGGTTTGGGGCTGCTTTGCTGCCCCAGGGCCTGGATGGATTGTTGTCATTGATGGGAAAATGAATTCCAGAGTTTATCAAGACATTTTGCAGGAAAACGTACGACCATCTGTCCGCCAACTGAAGCTCTGCAGAGGATGGGTGAGGCAACAGGACAATGACCCAAAGCATACAAGTAATTCAACAAACCAATGGCTGCAACAGCACAGAATACGTCTTCTGGAGTGGCCCAGTCAGAGTCCTGACCTCAACCCGATTGAAATGCTGTGGCATGACCTTAAGAGAGCGATTCACACCAGACATCCCAAGAATATTGCTACACTGAAACAGTTTTGTGAAGAGGAGTGGTCCAAAATTACTCCAGATCGTTGTGCAGGTCTGATCTGCAACTACAGGAAACGTTTGGTTGAGGTTATTGCTGCCAAAGGAGGGTCAACCAGTTATTAAGTCCAAAGGTTCACATACTTTTTCCTCCCTGCACTGTGAATGTTTACATGTTATGTGCAATTAAACCATGGCAACATCTAATGTTTGTGTAGTATTATGTTCAGCAGCGTGTGTTCTTCTATTGTTGTGACTTAGATGACGTTCAGAGCACATTTTATGCCCAATTCATGCAAAACTCCACGTAATCCCAAGGGGTTCACATACTTTTTCTTGCAACTGTATACTGTGTGTATATATATATATATATATATATATATATATATACTGGAGTTTTTTCTTTTTAATTTTTTTTATACTAGTAATGGCAGCGATCAGCAACATATAGCAGGACTGCAGGACTGCGGTGGGTATTCTGACACTGGGGGGGAACTGACTAACTGCCACTGACATCCCCAGTGACACTAATACAGTGATCAGTGCTAATAAAAAGCACTGACACTGTACTAATGGCACTGGGCAGGGAGGGGTTAACATCTGGGGCGATCAAAGGGTTAACTGTGTACTGTGTGCTGTTTTACTGTGTGTGCTGTGTGTGTTTTACTAGGGAAACATACTGCTTTGTATTGCTCTGCTATATATGTTTACACACAGACCTCTCCCCTTTAACTGTTCTGCAGCAATCACTGGGTGCCGGTGGGGAATCTGCAGCTATAGGGGCAGCGCAGGTAGGGTAGCGCATGTGTGCGCAGCTTAGCCGGAAGTGCAAAATCATGTATATATATATGGGGTTTTTATGCAGCCCTGTAGCAGTAGTTCTACTATAGGGCGGTCGGGAACCAGTTAATGAATAAACTTGTGTATGGCAAGTGCATTCACCTTCATAAGAGTGCCTTTGCTCACTGAACCACCCTCATAGGATAGTTTTACTGCAGAATGAGACATTACTACTTCTGTAAACAGAGCTAGCTGTATGCACTGTTTGCTGTGTGTGAATACAGGCCAACATTAATGCTGGGCAAGACGTCATTCATGACTTCACCAAACACATTTAGCTCTATACACTTTTTGGATTATTTTTTTTCTCACCTGCAGGCCAATATTAGTCATTTCAGTGCACTTCATGGTGTTTATCAACTAGAGAAGTGTATTTTACGATGGCTGAAAATGTAAATTGTCCATTAAAAACATTGTGGTTCAACAGTGGTGGAAAAGTAGCTGATAAATGAAACTCTTGGTATATTATTGTAGGAATTGATCACTGTTTGCCAAGTAATTTTATAAATGTACCTTTAGAACTTTTACCATAAGACCTCCAAAACAGAATGATTCATTTTTTCTTTCACATAAGGCAAGCTAAAATACAATTAAGCATTTTGCCACAAGCAGGTGGAATATGTGTGAAAGCTAGTGGAATTACAGGTGCAAATTTCATTTCTCACAACTATAAAAGCCAGGAGCAAACAATGTCACCTAGGGCCCACTCACAGCACGTCAACTGGGTTGAGTTGCTCAATGCAGGCCTAACACAATGACAGACTGAAATCTACTATTTTCAGAAGGACTAATTCACATCAGCACATGGTGCAATGTATGTTGGGTCAAAAATGAGCATACTGCACAAATAAAGCACAGCATGCTTCAACGCACTATGATGTATCACAGTGTGCCGCAGCATTAAGGAAAATAAAATAAATATTTTGGATTCTGCTGTGGGAAAAACATATCAACACACACGCAAACTCAAGTGCACTACAAGGGAACGGCAACATGAGCTAAGCACATTGCACAAGGTGTGAATCCAGCCTAAAAAGTGGATCATATCCCTAAGTCGATGACATTTATTTTGCTAATATACATACAAACCAATGAGAGCACCAAACAAATGTCCAAGAGTCCATGGTAATTTAATGTTAAAATTGATTCATAGAAGAATGCAGCCAACACATTTCAGGCCCCCCCCCCTCTTCATCAGGACTACAAAACAAGTACAAATACAAGGGTCATAAATCAAAAAGTAAAAGGTCAACAAAATGAATAGTCATAAAAGTCATAAATCAAAAAGTAAAATTTAAAAATGAATATACACGTACAAAAAATATATATAGAAGAATAATAAATATAGACGTCAAAGGACTGGAATATAATATCTGATTCAAGTGAATAGTTATTATTATCTTTAGGTCACAATACGTAGTTAGCAAACAGTTAAATGTATAGAATTATAGACAACATCTCACTAAAAACAGGACAATTTTACAGTCAGTGCTGTAAAAAATATGACTTGTCAATGGTATTAAATGAACTGCTGATTCTAGAATAGTGTTTTTCAACCTTTTTCAAGTCTAGACTGGGGTGACTTGAGACTGAAAATACTTTTCAAGAGTGTCTAAAGCTCGGCTCACATTACTGCATTATTTTTACAATAAAGTTGGCACGTTTGAGTCTAACATCTTTTCTCTGAACAAATAGACATTTATAGAATGTTTTATAATTGCGCACTGTATGGTACGGGAGTTCTGGTTTATTAACTCTTCAGAGTTTTGAAGATTGGAATACACACACTTGTCTCAGGCTCTGTGAAGATTTTTACATCTATTCTGTGCTAGATTGGGATATGGACACATTGGGGAGATCTACTAAAACTGGAGAGTGCAACATTTGGTGCAGCTCTGCATAGAAACCAATCAGCTTTCAGGTTTTAATGTCAACGCTTAATTGAACAAGCTGAAATTAGAAGCTGATTGGCTACCATGCACAACTGCTCCAGATTTTGAGTGTTCCTGTTTGAGTAAATCTCCCCCATTGAGTGGAGTCCAGTGAGAAACACACAGGATCTAAACAACCCCCATTGTGAAGGTATACACATTAAACATTTGGACTTTCTTCAACACTGTAGATGCAATTCAGGTTTGTTAGTCAAGTCCAGGCCTGGGCAAATTGTGGCCCTAGGGTCACATCCGGCCCTTTGGCTGACTCTGTCCAACACTCAATTCTTCCACTGTTATGTCTCTCTGGGTCTGTCATCTTCCTCATTGAGAAAACTGACAGGCTCAGGGACGCATGCTGACATATATCCGTGTGGAGAGATGAAAGAACTGGAAGGAGAGAGCCTGAGAAGCTGATCAGTATAGTGAGGAGGCTTGGTGCTGGTGCGAGAGCTTACCTAGAAGATGTCCTGTTCCCAATCTGCTACCTGGACAACTTTGTCCTGTGTTAGCACCTACATTCTATAAACACCAGGCACTTATTCTTTACTCCAGATTAGGATCTGTAGACATCCCCGCTGTACTGATCTCAGGATCTCTCTTTCCAGTCACAGGGCTTTTAAGAGAGGACTTGACAAGCCTGATTTAGCCCCATAAAGCCACAATACCATGCTGCAATCCCATACATTGCACGTGGTTGAGTCGTGGCTCCATTGAACTCAAGGGCGAGTTTGATGAGTGGCGATGCTTGTCAAACTCTGCAGCCCAAGTTAAAAATGTAACAGCCATGAAGCAAAGCACCATGACCACAGTATATGTACAGCCATGTTGAATGGTATTCCTTGAAAATCAGCATTTGGTCAGCTGCTGCAGCTGATCAGTGTATTCTGATAAGGGGGAGATCAATTCTGCAGGAATATGTCTTTTTTTTTTTTCCTTGTTCAACCCTCTGTCCATGTATACCCAGCTTCAAACCTCCTGCTATATTCAACATAATTTAAAATAAATTAAATATCTAACAGGCAGTATGAGACCCTCTCAGGGGCGGACTGACTACTCATGGGGCCCCTGGGCAATAGGGGATCATAGGGCCCCTGTGTCCTTGCTCAAACTCAAAAAAGCCTATGATAAAGGTACCAGGGGCAGCTCATGGGGCCCCCTACTGACCCTGGGCCCTCGGCAGTGCCCGAGTTTCTAAATGGTCAGTCCGCCCCTGGACCCTCTTATAATGGCCATACCAGTTTGGAAGAAGTCTGCAAGCACAATATAAGGCTGACGATATCTATCCAAAACTGAACTGATCAGTTTTTTTGTTTCTTTGTAATTTAGTAAATGATTTGCCCTCCAGCACCCTTTTTTGGTGTTTTTCCAAACTACAGACATGAATTCTATAATAGGAAAATGATGTTCCTGTGAATTGTGTTAATCATTATTTCCCCTTGATGAGACAGTGGTGGTCTCTAACCACATAAATATAATGTAAACCCTCATGTGAGGCAGAGCATTTCTGAGAAGTCAACCCACAACACCTGTTCACACATATAAATGTCTACTCCGTCTCTAGCTGTGGTGTAAAAGTTCAAGATTTCTAGAGAGATTATTAACAATGAGGCCTCTCTTATTCTCAGCTGTGTCTTTCTTTCTTCTGCATATCAGTGGCTGTAAGTACAGACTCACATATACTTGTCAACTAGTTTATTTGTTTCTTCCTCTGGCTGTTTGACAATACCTGTAAACCTTAGAAAAAAAGCTTAATTTATCTGAAATAACAACTTATGATTAGAGTGTGTTATATTTATATAATTTTACATAATATGAAGGTTTTTACTAGTGAATCAGGCTTACTAAATTAGAAGTCAGCTGTGTGTTAGATACTACTCCTTCATGCTGTATTATTTCTATTAGTCATTTTTTTGGCACAACAAGTGATCATTGAATGCTCCACATCAATCAGTGGGGTTGATTTACTAAAGGCAAATAACCTGTGCAGTTGCACTTATTTTTCCCAGAGCTTAGTGAATGTGATGAAGATTCACTTTGTAAAATATACTCAATCAGGTGCAAGGAAAAAAAAACATCATTTTTGCTTGCACATGATTTGATGATGAAAATCAGCAGCGTTTTGCCACATGCATTACATTCTGGGGAAAATGAGATAAAATGCACCTGCAAAGTGCACAGTCTATTTGCCTTTAGTAAATTACCTCTATTTCTTCTAAAAGTGTATCTCTAGGCAAAACCAGTCAAGTTTTTTTTGCTTTCTGTGTCCCAGTTGGGGAGGTTTAACCTTCTATTTGTTCTATTGACCCATGTCACCATTGCTAGAGCGTTCCCCAAAACAAGAGTTTATAGACAACCTTCCAATGGGGGCACCTGCTCTGGAACCAACTGTCTAAAAAGGGAATTCACCTCACTTAGAGATTTCTTCGAACTTCCTGCTGTGTTTATGGAACACAAAGTGAAGGGAAATTTCCTCAATGGAACACAGGAAGCAAAAAATAAACTGACTGTGTTTTAACCCTTCCGTACTTTATCTAAAACAAAGTTTTGGCTAAACATAAACTTGAAGAAGCTTATGGTCTAATGCTGGGATTGTCAACCAGGGTTCCATGGAACCCTAGGGATCCACCAGAGGTTGCTTTGGGGTTCCTTGAGCAATGAGCAATTTCTGACTCTCAGATACGTTCCCACTGACACCATTTATCTTGTTAGCTATCTGTAAGGGGGTAATTTTTCCCATTGACCACAGATGCTAGGAGCATCGTTCTCAATGACTATTGCACAATTGCATTCTGAGTTGTAGATATAGTATATTTATCAGCGTTTCCCTGAGACTGGAAAGTTATTTCAAGGTTTCCTCTGTGTTGTAAAGGATGAAAAAGGCTGGTTTAATGTATTTTCCAAAGTCATATGGACATGTGCTAGGGCTAATCTAGCTGGAAACCAGTTTCCAACATTGAGTTATAAAATTTTTGGGAGTAACCAGAGGGGGAATTTGGTTTCTGTTTGAGTTAAGCTGGCCATAAATGGATCAAAAGTCGTCCGGGTCAGCGCAGACCGGCTGAATTTCTATCTATCTATGGCCATTCCCACTAGAGAGAAGTCAAGCTAATGATGGCATCTCACAGATGGGAATGTTGGAAAATGTTACTTTGATCAATGCTGCAGCCAATAGGATGTGTATTCTGAAGGAGTCCCTGCTGTCAGAATACAATATCACAGCAGGGAGGATTCTTCTATCCCCCTTGAATGTGTGAATGGGGCAATCCATTTATTTCATTTTTATCAACTCTCTGGCTGATCAAAAAAAAAAATCCATCTATGGTCAGCTTTAGAAGCCACCCGGTTCAGCACCTTTGCAGGCTGCTCTCTAGGGACAATGCTCTGTCTCCTGAATTGTTTTTATCCCCAACCCCAGGTCCATACAGGGGTACAGACATTCAATTGAATGGCTGGAAGAAGAAATCAGTGGACCGGTGGTGTCATCGCACTTGTGCTCTACTGTGTTCTGTGAATCGCTATGCCACCATGACAGGTTGGACTTGTAGTTGCTCCATTCACAGATCCCTGAGAAAGGATCTGTGAATGGATGATGCAGATGTGCGAGCATATATAATGTTGCAGGGAGAAGCACCCTGGGAATGGTGGGGAAAGTCTGGGTAGTATAAATGTAATTCAGGTTACTCCCTAAATATTGGTGTAACATGAAACATGGTCCAATAAGTGAACTGAGCCTTAAGGAAGTACACTTCAACTGCCCTCTGTGCAGCTGTGTGTGCTTATTTTGTGGGGGATTAACACAGATCTATTTCACTTGAGGGAACTTTTTTACTTTAGCATGGGTGCTGAGCTTACTGTGTTGCATTAGCAGCTCACTGAATACTTAAGCTGGCCATACACGTGTAGAATTTCAGATGAAAATATGCATAAGAAAAGTCGTACAAAAAATTTGATGAATGGATGAATGTCGTTTCAAAATTGTCTTTTGCTTGTAACATTCAATTTAAAATGAATGTAATTGCTGAACGATAACCACATACAGTGGCCGAAAATTAGAAAGATCAGGAAAAAAAAGTTTCCTTCCGGCCCCTTCAAATTTTCCCATCACTGCGGTTGAAAATGAACATCAATTTGACCCCACTAACGATTAGAAAGTCAAGCGAATATTCTTGAAACAAAAATTCTCAAACTAAAATCTATATTTGTATAGCCAGCTTTATGCCCCGTACACACGATGAGAATATCGGACGAATGATCGTTCATTTTTTTTTTTGCCTGTAGCCTCATATTGAAAGTGAATAGGTTACTAAAGACACGTAAATTCTCGTACGGCAGAAAGAAGATTCAGAAATGATGTCATGTATTTGTATTGTATTTTTGTATGAAAACTGTACTGATTAAGTGAAAATCGAACGATCTGGTATCATACGAGAAAAATTTTCATGCTTGTCCCTTCAAATAATTTCAGACAAAAGCTGTGTACTAATGATCAGATTATCATACATTCGCTTCAAAAGTGGTATTTTTCATAGGATTTTCTGATTGTGTGTACTAGCCTTTGGACTTACTGACTTAAACTGCTCTTTAATCATCTCAATGTGCTTTATTCTACAGATGTTTGTATGGAAATAATTGGAGGGAATATCGCTGCTCCTCACTCTAGACCCTACATGGTTTATCTGAAAGATACAGCTTCATGTGGAGGGGCGCTCATTAAACCTAACTGGGTGGTAACTGCTGCACATTGTAAATTGTAAGTATATTATATTGCAGCTTTTGAGACACTGTAGCCAAAAGAAAAAAATATAAAATATTTTCCAACTGCATTTCTATACAAAATGTGCAAAAGTCTTGCGTTTTCCACAACATTATGCAGAAACGCAGTGATCCAACCAGAAGTGGAAGTGGGTACTTGTCGAAACAGGTACCCCTCCCCCACACAAAAAAAGTGTAAAAAAAAACCCTTTATGGTGAAGTTCCACTTTAAGGTGTATTGGTGATGTAGGACCACAGTGCAATGCTGACTCTCGACCAGCAGGTGGCAGAGGCTGTAGACTGATTGTTACATTCAGCTTCCATAATATACTCATTATTATTTTTTTTTTTATCTTGATCTTTTTATTGAAGATTTTCAGTGATAAGAGATTACTCCAGACAGTACTATCTGCCAATTATTTTGCTTTGTTTCATCATATGTTCAGTTTTACTTGTGCAGGGTTGTGAAAGGGTTAATTTATTCTGTAACCCAAATCATACCATAGCTTATGGTAAGCAATGCAAACCAAACAAAAACAACTTTCAAGTGTACTAAGCCCAGGACCCTGCATTCACTATATCTGGTCTTCCACAGAACAAGGAAGTGCAATTATTTTAGTAAATCTAAACTGCTAAATACCTTTTCTCATCAGCAGTTAGAGCAGTCTTGTGACTTCTATCAGTGTCCAGCAGAGCACTGGTTAAAGCTTGTACAAGGAGTTTTCATTTTCCTCTAGGAGGATGCAGAACCCCTGACCTCTGTCTGGACAGTGTTGATTGGCCCTGTGCTGATCACATGCACTCTTCCAAAAGAAAAAAGAAACCTCTCTAGCAATACACACCAAACTGAGCATCAGCAGAGTGTTTCCACGTATGTCTTATCAGGAGATAAGAGGAGGACACTGGAAGAAGGGGAGGATCAGAGAAGTCAGGATCAAACAGCAGAAGATTAACCCCTTAGGTTCCACAGTGAGTACAACAAGCATGCTGCATACATATACAGACTGATGTTATTGTTGTGGGTTTAGTAACACTTTAGGTGATATATCAGTAGTAGCTGCTGTCTAAAGGTGTTCTGTGGAGTGATTCACCTTAGACAGCAGCTGCTGCTGATATATCACCTAATGTTGTGTTTGTTTGGCTTGGATTACTTTATTCTGATCACATTCATATTTTACCCACCGGATGTCCTTAGGCTGTTTTAAAACATCCTGGATATAATGTGGTTAAAACCAGCTTGTGGTTGCAGATGCAGCAATGACCTTTCTATCATTTTTTTTCATCCGGCAAGTCACTGTTTAGTAGATGTGATCCAGGCAAAAATCACTCTTCTAGTAGTGAGACTGATAGGTCTCCATTCCCTCCGGTGCTTCCTGTGGTGGCTCTCCCTGCTCCTCTGATGAGCCCAGGACCTCAGTAAATTGTCCCATCAGTTAGAGCAGGAGGCAACTGAGGAACATCCATTCCCCGATCTCCTCTGTGAGTAATGAAGCAGGAACTGACCAGCATTTCTCCAATTGCAGCTTCAGTTCATTCATTCCCTGGCTACTGTAGCTAGGGAAACAGCCAATCAAATGAACAAATTGCAACTGTCACCATTTCATTCTACAGGGCCTCATCCTTCGTAAAATATATCATGTTTGAGGTTCTAAAGTAATTTTCTAGCAAAAAATGGTGATGTTAACATGTGTGTGACAAATTAAAAAACTGCATCAAATGTGAAGTTGTTAAACTTTTCATATAACTTTTAATTTCCTTTCAGTAACCGTTAATATTTTGATTTCAGTGGAAATACGACAAAGGCTGTCTTAGGCGCTCACTCGCTGAGTGGCAATACAAACCAGCAGCAGTTAATTCGGATTAAACGGGCTATTAAACACCCTTGTTTTGACTGGGATTTAAAGATAAATGACCTTCAACTGTTAGAGGTAAGAATAATAAAATTTTTCCATTTACTATTGCCTGTACATCTTTTGTCATTAGGAGAAAAATACCATGTTAGCAGAAAAAAGTGCAGCATCCTGTAAAAGAAGCAACTAATACTCCCCTGTCTAGTGGGCAGTGTGCTAAATCTTTGCTGTCTTGTAGATCTGTGATCTCCACTGTTTTTGGGTGTTTTGAATAGCAATTCCTCAGCTGCGATTCCTCCTGCCAGCCTCTATATCACTACTGTGCAATGGTGTATGTAGGTTTTGTGCTGCCCTAGGCAACACATAAATCGGCGCCCCACCCAGAGAGAACCTGACACCAAGGAACACCCCTCCCCCCTGCAGAGAGAGCCTGACACCAAGGAACACCCCCCCCCTGCAGAGAGAGCTTGACACCAAGGCCCCCCCCCCCCTCCCGCAGAGAGAGCCTGACACCAAGGAACACCCCCCCCCTGCAGAGAGAGCTTGACACCAAGGACCCCCCCCCCCCCCCCCCGCAGAGAGAGCATGACACCAAGGAACACCCCTGCAGAGAGAGCATGACACCAAGGAACACCCCCCCCCCTGCAGAGAGAGCCTGACACCAAGGACCCCCCCCCCCCCCCCCTGCAGAGAGAGCCTGACACCAAGAAACACCCCTCCCCCCCCGCAGAGAGAGCCTGACACCATGGAACACCCCCCCCCCCCCTGCAGAGAGAGCCTGACACCAAGGACCCCCCCTGCAGAGAGAGCCTGACACCAAGGAACACCCCCCCCCCTGCAGAGAGAGCCTGACACCAAGGAACACCCCTCCCCCCCTGCAGAGAGAGCCTGACACCAAGGAACACCCCTCCCCCCCGCAGAGAGAGCCTGACACCAAGGAACACCCCCCCCCGCAGAGAGAACCTGACACCAAGGAACACCCCCCCCCAGAGAGAGCATGACATTCACCAACACCCCTGCCCCCCCCACCTGAGAGAGCCCTCCACTACCACCCGCCATACGCCGGACTTTGAACCCCTCCCCTGTGGAGAGAGAGAGAGACACTGATCTACACAACCCCGGACATCCCCAGGAATGAGAGTCATGGCTCTGCATACACCATCATGCAGCCTGCAGCCTCTCTCAGATCCCGCCTGGTTCCCATGCCACGTGTGTCCCTTCTTCCAGGAGGCAGCGCTGCCCCCCTGAAAAATGCCACCCTAGGCAAATGCCTTGTTTGCCTTGTGGTAAATACACCCCTGCTACTGTGTCCTGTAGTAGGGAATAGTGGGTGACCACTACAGCAATACTATCTCCAAGTATTTGCCTACATGCCTGGTATATTTCAGTTGACGAGCCCCCTCCCCCTGCATTCCCTCAAGCAGGTATTTCTGCTATTCTGGACCCTCCAGCAAGGAAAAATGTTTGTTTATTGGGGCTGGGCAGCTATGTTTGCTATAATTAACCCTTTGTATACTGCGCAGGCAGACCTTCATTATCAATTTTATGAGGACAGATCTGGGACACAGGCTCACTGTACCATTGTTCAAAGATCCCTGCAGTCAGCTATAAAACCTCCTCCTGAGAAACATCTAAAATTTAAGAAGTAATTTAAACATTTTTAGGCGTGCTGTGTGAATAGGAACACATAACAAACGTATAATGGGGTTTTCTCAAATTTAACTGCAAAGGTAGAAATACGCTTTAAGGTCCACATACATAAGTGTGTGAACTGAAATTTTTATGAGAAACATATATTGAGGTAAAATAACAAACATCATAAAAATATCCCACACATGATAGTAAAATGTCCCTAATAAGTGGTTAAAGCAGACACCCCTCCCCCCACTACCAATGATGAAATCTACAATGAAAAAATAAATCAATAAATAAATATACAAACAAATATATTTATTATTATTATTTGCCTCCACTCTTTCACTATTCAGATATCTTAATGCACCTTTCCACCCCAGCAGGAAAATTCATGCTGCCATTTTAAATATAGACATCCTCAGTGGTTGGCTCTTTCTTATGCATTTTCTATGCTAGCCCACTGATAAAGTCAGGGCCAGATCCTGTCCAAGCATTGTGTGTAGTTTGTTACTGTTTACACATTTCCATGACACATTTAGCAATGTGAGCAGCCCAATACTCATGTTGCTAAGCCATGAAAACATATAAATAATTATGCATAGGGGTTGATTAACCAGAACTGGAGGGTGCAAAATCTGGTATAGCTGTGCATTGTAGCTAATCAGCTCCTAACTTCAACTAGTTCAATTAAAGCGGAGCTCCACTCAAAAGGGGAAGTTCCGCTTTAAAGACTGCTCCCCCGCTCCCCATTAAGAATTGGCACCTTTGGGAAATGGGGGGGGAGCGGGTACCCGAATTTGACAGGTACCCGCTCCCACTTCCAGTCCGATCGCCTAGGTGATCGGAAGCGGAAGGTGTTCTCCCTCCTTCCCTTCCTGTAGTCTTTTGGGACACGTGACAGGTCCCAGAAGACTACAGGACCATTCATGAACCGCAGCGCTACTCCCACATGTGCAGTGGGTACCCAGCTGTGAAGCTGCAAGCTGTCACAGCCAGGTGCCCACACTGAAGATGCCGGCCTCCTGGAATACAGGACGGCTGGTGAAACGAGCTGCGGGGGACACACCGCGGGGACCGAGGGACAGGTAGGTGGCTGCTTTTTAAAAGTCAGCAGCTACAGTTTTTGTAGCTAACTTTTATTTTTTGATAGGTTGAGTGGAACTCCACTTTAAACTTTGACAAAAAAAAAAACTGGAAGCTGATTGGTTTCTATGCAGAGCTGCACCAGATCTGTTTATAGTAAATCAATCCCATAATTTCCATGGAAAAAATACATTTTTCCCCAAAACCTCACAAGATTTCACCAAACTGACAGTCACCACTCTGCTCAGAGCAGCTTTGAGAGATAAGCAGGTTCTCCCACTTGAAGCTGGTGAGGGACAGATGCTGCATCCACCTAGGCAAGTATAATTGTGGGTATAGTAGGTAAATTTTGGGGAAAAAAATTATAACCCATACTTCTCTTTAGATCTGGTTCACACCTATGTGTGTTGTAATGTGCTGCAGGAAGAAAAGGCTTTGATCCTATTTAAAAACACAGCAGCTGAAAACACATAGATGTGAACGTGTCCCATAGGAAACCATGTTAAATGAACAGTAATGAGTTTCTGCAAAACGCAAAAAGCACTAAAAACTGCATAGGTGTGAACCAGGCCTTAAGTATGTTTTTCATTTTTTTTTGTTAACAGCTGGAGAAACCAGCCAAGTTAAACAAGTTTGTGTCAATCCTGCCACTACCAAAACAAGAGGAGAACATGAAAGCGGGAACACATTGCAGCACTGCTGGATGGGGAGTCACTGATATAAAACACCCAAAACTATCAGATGTCCTTCGTGAGGTCAATCTGACCATTGTCACTAATAACACATGCAGCAAAGCATACAGTAAAGCTACGAAAAAAGTAATAATAACCAGCAGTATGATATGTGCGGGACCACTTAAAAAGCGCAAAGATGACACTTGCCAGGTAAGAATCCATAATCTTTTTCTAAAATAGTATCTGGTGACACTACCGTGAAAGTCCTTGTGTAGGTATTTCCTGTTACAGAGTGACCACTGTTTTCCAGTTGTACTCTCGCGTTGTTGTTTTTGGTGTTGACTACAAGGGGCTGTGCCAACACACATGCAGTCCACCATTGCCACTATCAGGAATATGGTCCTGTGTAAAAATGTACCATTGACCCTGAAGCCAGTGCATGTTGTCATGACATGGCTGAATAACGCTGGAGGAGAATGAAAAAAAAATTGACAACAGCTTTTTTATGAAAACAAAATTGCAATTGTTAATGATACACAGCGCTTTACTAAGCTAAATGTCACCCAGTTAGCGTTTAGATTATCTTTATTAGCTGTAAAATTGTAGATTGTAGCGTTTGTGTATGTAAAGCAAACATTAATTTGAATCCTAGTTCATTTATCAAATTCAGATTTTGATTTTTTAGCAATTGTCAATATACTGTACAAACCAGGGGCGGACTGACCATTTGGGAACTTAGGCACTGCCCGAGGGCCCGGGGTCAGTAGGGGGCCCCATGAGATGCCCCTGGTACCTTTCTTAGGCTTTTTTGGGTGTGGTTTGAGTGTGGGCGAGGACACAGGGTCCCCATGATCCCCTATTGCCCAGGGCCCCATGAGTTGTCAGTCTGCCCATGGTACAAACTAATGTTTAACAAGATTGTAAGCTCCAAGGAGCAGGGCCCTCGAACCCCTCGTGTATTGAATCGTATTGTTACTGTACTGTCTCGTGTTCTGTCTCCCATTATAATGTTATAATGTACAGCGCTGAGCAAACTGTTGGCACTATATAAATCCTGTATGATATAATAATAATAACAATTGCTTGTAGGAAACCTATATAAAAAGAAACATCAATCGTTTGTGCCTAGAACAGAATGAATGTCAAATATAGTGTTGCTTACATCTCCACAGTAGCCTAACACTCTGGGTGTATTTATAAAACAGTTGTATAGCGGCCATCAAAAATGCATGTAAAGTTGTTTATTGCAAATGGGGCAAAATCAATTGTTTTTGGGCTATATTCTCTGCAGATCAAATGTTACTCATTGAAACAAGACTGTATGAATGAAAAAAAAATACTGCTTTTTTTGCCACTAGATGGAGCGAATAATTTCCTATGATTGATATATAAATACACTGTGTATGTATGTATGTATGTATATATATATATATATATATATATATACAAACAATTTAAAGTTTGGCTACAGTTTCAGGCAACAAGCCCCTCGTCAGGCCAAGAAAGACAAGTACAACTTTTTTTGTGTGCTGAACATTTAAATAACTTTTTGTATGCTGCAACCCACGTTTTGGAATCTTGCTAAGGCTCATTGGGCAATTGTCCAGCGGTCAACTTTTTTTAACTAAGTGGTGTCACCCACACAATGAATTTCATCCAGTTCAGCTGGAATCAGCTGAAATGTGATCATAGATGGGCAGCATTTTTTTTTTATCAAAGTAGTAAAGCAGATTTCTTTTTACTGTAGACATCTCTGGAAAGCAATATTAGAATAGGAAACTGTGTGGTTTAGAAATCTGCGAGAGACTTAAATGTTTCACATCTCTGTATGAGATTGTGAGTGTATGAGTGACTTAAAATGTTTTGTACTGATGACTTATATTACCTGTAAGCACATGAAATATGCACATTTCACCATGCTTGAAGCTTTACTAAACCTACATTTTTTTCAAAATAGTAAACATGTTATACTTAGCTGCTCTGTGCAATAGCATTGCACAGAACAGCCCTGAACCTTCTCTTCTAGGGTCCCCCCTCGATGATCTTAGTTCTTCCTTATCTGCCCCCTTAGCAAGCTACTTTTTATGGGGGCAGATGTGTAAACTTGCTCCAGAGCCGGGCTGTGTGTGTCTATAGATACACATAGCGTGGTATGGACCCCTGCTCCCTCCTCCAATTTAAAATTGACAGCCAATAGCTCCCGCTGCTGCCTCCATGTTCAATAAAGGGGGGAAAGAGAAGGGTGCTGCTGCTGTCGGGCACAGCGCTGGATTGAGATTAGGCTCAGGTAAGTATTTGGTGGGGCTGGGGGGAGCAACATTTGAAAGGTTTTTCACTTTAACGCACAGAATGTATTAAGGTAAACAAAAACCTTTAGCCTTTAGAACCACTTTAATACATGTTTACAATATACAGTATCTGTGGGTTTATTGCAAATACAGAAAAAAGGTGGTTTGGAAATCAAATTTTCAAAAGTACATTGCAACCAACACTTTATACATTTCCTGTGTTTTTTAATACTTTATTGAATGAGTGCTAATAATATTTTTGTATACAATTTTATATTTATAAAAGTCATTGATATGTCACAAAAATGTCATTAAGCTCAACATTTATTACACTTTTTAGTGTAACCCTGTTACAAGTGTTGATGCAGGATGTTAAAACAAACACAAGATGGCAGTGTCCTGCAGAACAGTGGCATCCACACTATGTAGAGCAGCCCCATGGAACTTGTATGCTGAACTGCAGGACTTTAGTAAGGTCGACGGTGGCCCCATCAACATGGGGACAAGGTGCTTTGGGGGGAATCCCGCTGACAGCTGAAATATTAAAGAATATTTTCAATAATAAAATACCACATGACTTAATAATATAACTCATGCTGTATTTTAGTAATTATATGGCATCTTACTGCATACTCATTAGGTTAGAATGTTCGATGGCGAAAAGAACAGGGGGGTGTTCAGCCCATCACTAATAGTTATTAGAAGTTGCAGCCTAGATCCTTCAGCCGCTACATCTGACTACACTTCACACAGCCTTATCATCAGAGCTGATAGCAGGACAGTCAGTTCACAGGCTGTACCACTGCTATATCACCATCATCATCAATTCACTCTACTAAGGAGGCCTTTTCCAATTGCGCCAATAGTCCTGCAGTCCAGAGAATTGTTGCCGTGTGCCAACAATCACTTTTACCAGCTTAGCCACTTGTTGCTTTAGACTCACTAGTGACTAGTGCCTTAAAGGAACATTACATCAGTAAATTGCTGCTTGCAGGGGGAGTGCAGTTCCTCCTTCTCTTAATTGCATCATCACTGTGCACCAACTAGGCCCCATTATGTGTCCAGAAGACTCTTCACTGCCTTTAAAGAACATTGGTTGTTTTGGGGGGTAAAGAGCTCTTTTCCTTATTTCAAACTATCTCCTCACCATCAAGTCCTGAGGGCCCAGAGTGAGCTAGTCTTCCAGTCTGATAGTTCTAGCTGCTCACTGGGCACTGTAAGGACACCTCAGGTTGAGGGTATTGGGTTAGTTTCTGAAAATCAGGCCTGCTAATACTAACTGAGATCCTGTGATAAGTGTTGTCTTTTCTTAAGTTCAAACTGACACAAGTAACAATTATTATTATTATACAGGATTTATATAGCGCCAGCAGTTTGCTCAGTGCTTTACAATATATAAAGGGAGACAATACAGAAATAATACAGGTCAATACAAGAGGGTCAGGAGGGCCCTGCTCCTTGGAGCTTACAATCTAAGAGGGAGGGGCTGGTGGTACAAAAGGTAATAATTGTGGGGGATTAACTGATAGGAGGAATAGAAGATTCTGTTATTAGTTGAAGGCAGGATAGACTTCCCTGAAGAGTTAGGTTTTCAGAGACCGCCTAAAAGTGGGCAGAGTAGGTGATAGTCGAATAGATTGGGGTAGAGAGTTCCAGAGGATGGGGAGGCTCTGGAGAAGTCCTGCAGATGAGCATGGGAGGAGGAGACAAGGGAGCTAGAGAGCAGGAGGTAGTGGGAGGAGTGGAGAGGATGGTTTGGGTGATATTTGGAGACAAGATTGGTGATGTAATTTGGGGCGGAGTTATAAATGGCTTTATATGTTATTGTTAATGTTTTTAATTTTATTTGTTGGGCAATGGGAAGCCAGTGGAGGGATTGGCAGAGAGGGATGACAGATATGGAATGAGTCTGACAACAGCATTCATGATGGACTGAAGAGGGGATAGCCTGCGATGAGGTAGGCCAATGAGGAGGGAGTTACAATAGTCAAAGCAAGAGATAACAAGGGAGTGAATAAGTTGCTTAGTGATTTAAGAGGTTAAGAAATGGCGTATCTTGGAGATATTGTGGAGGTGCAGTCTGCAAGATTTGGACAGTGATTGGATTTGGGGCTGAAAGGACAGATGGGAGTCTAGGATTACACCTAGTACCCTGCCATGAGGGGAGGGACTGATGGTTGTATTATTGATCTTGATAGAGAAGTCAGGGGAGGGGGCACGGGCTGGAGGGAATAGTATGAACTCCATTTTGGAAAGATTGAGTTTGAGGAAGTGGAGTGACATCCATGCCAATATGTCACTTAGTAGGTTAGTAATGCGATAGGAGACTGAAGGAGCGAGGTGAGGAGTTGAAAGGTAGATTTGTGTGTCATCAACATAGAGATGGTACTTAAAGTCATGGGAGTTTATCAAGTGACCAAGGGAGGAGGTGTAGATGGAGAAGAGAAGGGGTCCAAGGATAGAACCTTGAGGAACCCCTACAGAAAGAGGAAGTGGAGAAGAGGAGACAGAGTTGTAGGTAACGCTGAAGGAGCACTGCGATAGGTAGGAGGAGAACCAGGAGAGAGCAAAGTCTCAAGGGTGTGGAGTTTTTTAAGGAGGAGGGGATGGTCAACAGTATTAAAAGCCGCAGAGAGGTCAAGTAGTAAAAAGTATGGAGTAGTGGTCATTGGTTTTAGCAGTTAGTAACTCATTAGTGAATTTTAGTAGGGCAGTTTCAGTGGAGTGGAGTGAGCGAAAGCCGGACTGTAAAGGGTCAAGAAAGTTGTTGTCAGTAAGGTAGGAGCTCAGGCGATTGTAGACTAAACGTTCTAAGAGTTTAAAGGTAAACGGGAGCAGAGAGATGGGTGTTAAGTTGTTCAGGTTGGTGGGGGTCCAGCGAGGGCTTTTTAAGTATGGGAATGATCTGTGCATGCTTTAGAGGGGGGGGAAGGCACCATTAGAGAGGGAGAGATTGAAGATGTGAGTGATGGAGCATAGGACAGAAGAAGTGGGTGACCGTAGTAGTTGAGAGGGGACAGGATCCAGGGGGCACATGGTGAGACGGGCTTCTGAGAAAACTTTAGAGACCTCTTCAGTAGTAGCAAGGTCAAAAGAGGAAAGTGTTGAGGGAGGTTTAGTATAAGGTATGCTAAGTGGGATATATGTCTTTTTAGTGGAGATGCCCTGACGAATTGTATCAATCTTGTTTTTCAAATAATGTGCAATCTCGTAAGCAGTGAGTGAGGTACTAGGTGGAGGTGGAGAAAGTGGAGAGTTAAAAGTAGAGAAGAGATGACGAGGACTAGATGATAAGGTATTAATAACAGTGACAAAGTAGGCTTGTTTGACAGTATGGAGGGAGGAATTGTATGTTAAAAAAGCAGATTTATATAGGGTGAATGCTTGCTGGGATTTGGTTTTATGCCACAATCGCTCCAGTGCACGACTCTGTCTCTTAAGATTTTTGGTGTCGTCAGTCTGCCACGGTTATAATAGTTGGGAACTGATACTTAAAGGAGCAAGTGAGTCTAGTGTGGATGAAAGCGAACTGTTGTAGACAGCAGTGGCCAGGTTAGGGCATGACAGGGAGAGATTCTATCATAGAGGCGGTCAATTGCAGAATGGAAAAGAGAAGGGTTTAAGTTGTGGAGTTTTCTGCAGGTAATTGTTTACTGCTTAGAGGGATAGATGTTTGAAGATGAGGACACTGTGAAGGTGATGAGATTGTGATCAGTGGGAGGAAAGGGGGTGTTTGTGATGTTGTAGGGAGTGCAATTGATTCTACACATGCCAATTCTGTTTATGTCATATTTAAGTTTGCTATAAACTTCTTACTAGTTTACTTCAATCCGTGTGTGAATCCACTTTCTGGTGGTGACTTATTCCAGTTATGAGTGTACTGTGGTGTCAGTAGGTGTTGGGCTTTCATAGAGGGGTCCAGCTCTCCTGTTCTCTATGCTGTGTGCTGTACCTGTCACAGGAACAGGAAACTAATTGCTCTTTAACTGCTGACTTTGGAAAAGTCACAATTTGCATAATAGTTGCAGTGCATAAATATACTTAGGTTTCACATTTGGGTAGATGATAGTAGATTTTTGGATTATGACATGAGCCAAATAGGAGAGGCCTTAATCAATATAAGCAAGGTATATACAGTATACACAAAGATTAGATGGATTGTGGTCAGTGCATATAGTATATGCCACAGATTTTTAATTCAAGGTATTGGAAGGTATGCAAGTGAAAACAGTTATTGATTATGCCACTAGATTGTCTTGATGCATTTTGTTGCCCTTGGTTGACATATTATTAATTTTGAATTTTTTTATGAAAGAAAATTTACTGGTGTGTCTAATCCTTTCTAGGGTGACTCTGGAGGACCATTGATCTGCAACAACAAGTTCACAGGCATTGTTTCCTTTGGGAATAAATGTGGAAATCCCAAATTCCCTGGAGTCTACACTCGCCTGACAAACAAATATCTCAACTGGATCAGAGAAGTCACTGGAGGAGCTTCATTCTAACTCGAAAAGTATACCGACATGATCTTCCCATGAACTTTGATGAACAATAATTTAAAAAAATAAATAAACCTTATGCCACGCACGGTGTAATGGTGTGTTTAGGCTCATGCACATGGCCGCAAGGGGGCTGAACAGCATCCAGAGCCTCCATAAAAACTTTCTGCTGCTACATACAGCTTCCCATAGAAATCTACAGTATTAGATGTGTCTGTACATTGTTACCTGCCAGATACAAAAAAGAAAACCTCTGCGCTTACCAAAAATAATGTGCGCAAATGCCTTTTTGAATTGTGTTTGCAGCTATTCACTGTTGTGTATTTAAACACCAATAGAAATCTATATAAAAAAAAAGTGCAGTGCAACTTAAATAAAAAAGATTGAATAAATATAAAAAAATATCATATATCAATAATTATATAAAACATTGAATGTTAACCTCATATACAGTGAATGAAATCCATGTAAACGCATGAAAAACAAATGTAATTTATGTGATAATATAAACAAAAAGTCCATGCAATCCGACAAAATTATTAATCCGGATTCCTTTCTTTAAAAAGAATGGTGCTTCATGGCATGCATATGACATGTGTGCTCCACCACAGTGCACCACCACCTCTCAATGCTGCCGCTTACCGCAGGAATAGACCCATACAAAACACGTTCTCAACAATCTGGGTATAAACCGTCACAGCACTCTCCAGCTCATAGTAGATGAGTATCAATTTAACACCACAGGCTCCAAACCGTTCAATAATAAAGATAAAATCGAAAGAATCTCATGGTGCAGTACCAGGCACTGGATGCATACTAATTGTAAATGGCAGCGCTTTGAGTTGTTACATCTTGTTTTATAGTATCAAACTAATTACTTCAATTCATAAAATAAATAAAACACTCACAAAGAAAGTGTACTTGCAAAATCCAGTGCACCAGATAAATTGCCCCTTTAAAAACTACTCTTCATACAGTCATATTGCCCCCTTAAGGATGAATATCCCTGAATATATGTTAAACATGGCCGAACTCACACTTCTGGACGTGATGACGTCATGTGACTCTGCCCTCTGATATGTTTTGTCACGTGTTTAGTGACTTAATCATAGGACCGGGATATCTGCCAGATATTCCCTAAAGCACCCACACATGTACTGACGTTTGCTCATAATGCAGATACTGTGCACATAACTGCATACAATGCACCTTCTAATTGCAGTTGTGGCCCCCGGGAATGTTTTTATGGAGGCTGTGGATCCTCTTCCAGCCCTTTAACACCATGTGCATGAGCCCTTACAGTGGGAGGAATGACATTTCCTGAATGTTTTTACAATATGTACATACAGTATATGCAAGCTGTTTTCCCTTTTAGATGCTCATTAACTTGAATGTGTCATGTCTGGCAGTGGTACTGCCTCCTGCATGAAATGGGGGCTTAGTTTTGGTCATGGCAGTAGCATGTGTCCCTGATCAACTGCATGGCCTTGGTCAGGCGGGCAGTCGGGGGGCCGCACATCTGAATGAGGCCTAACACTTACAGTTCTCCTTCTCACCCCATGCTTGTGACTGCACAGTGAAAGAAGAAGCAGCAAGCTGATGGGCGCAGCTCTCTGTCACTCAATCTGTAAACATGATCCTTTGCATTGTAGTAAAATGAATTCCTTCTTTGTGTTGCTTCTCCTTCTTCCAGTCATTTCAATTAAAAAATACATTGTAAAGGGTTCACATGTTCAAAGACATGGGATGGTTGTTTTAAATGTAAATATATAACTAAAATAAATGCAGTATGTTACATCTAAATTAATATAAGCATAAATAAATAAAAATTATTATATCATGCAATATGTTCTTTTTAAGTTCTCATTTTTCAGCTGCTTATGATTAGATTATTTGCCAGAAGTTTCATAGGGAGGAAATGAAAGCTGCACATTAGACCAGTCTAGGCCCGTTTACATCTCACAATTTGGATATGTGGACAGAATCCCTGCACAACATGCAACAAGTGTTTGAATGCCATTATGATTTAATGGCACCTCTAAAGACAATACGATTCTGCTACGATTATTGTGCAACAGGATTGTGCTGCAATCCGCACCTTTAACCTCTTCCCGTCCACCCACAGCCTATAAACAGCAGACAGGAAGCATCGCCAATGCGGGTTAACATACCTGTACATCAGCCCACTTCGGCGGGCTCTGCATGGATTACAGAGCCGCGCACCCAGGAGCTTGATGATCCATGTGTCACCCCGGAGCTTGTACCATGTGATTGCTGTGTCCAATCACAACAATCATATGGTAAACAATGCAAACTGAAAGTAAGCATTGGTTTTCTCTGTTCTCACTGTGAGTGATTTCGTGATTTTGGTAGAGTGATTTGCATGCCATTTTGCGTGTTGCACACATAAGGCATCCTATTCACTTCATGGGCTGCCCTATGATTGTTTGTTGCCCAAAAAGAACGTCATGCTCCTTCTCAGGTTACATGCTTCGCGCGATTTTTAACCACCTCACCCCAAAATCACAAGTACTACGCAAAAGTGTGACTGCAACCTGTTGCATGGATTGTATATGCATATGCAACTTTTATATTTGCATTTGCTACTATTGCTTTATGTGTGATATACGGATTATTAGGGCTGCACAGAAACCGCTATCGGTATCGGTGCTAATAGTAAGCATTTGCATGAGTACTCGTACTCATGCAAATCCTCCAATACTTGAAACCGATACCTTTGTGGTACGATTTGAGCACATGCAAAGTGAATGGTACGATACCTGTCCGAATCACATGCAGTTTCCCTGCGGGTGTGCTAAGATTTACAGTGCGATTTGAGCCATTCATTTTGTATGGACTCAAATCTGTAATCAGTATTGGCAAGTACAGGTATCGGTGCACCCCTACTGATTATATTTATTTATTTATTTATTTCAGGTACTTATATAGCGCCGTCAATTTACGTAGCACTTTACATATATATTGTACATTCACATCAGTCCCTAACCCTCAAGGGGTGTACAATCTAAGGTCCCTAACTTACATTCATACATACACATACTAGGGACAATTTAGACAGGAGCCAATTAACCTACCAGCATGTCTTTGGAGTGTGGATGGAAACCGGAGTACCCAGAGGAAACCCAGGCAGGCACAGGGAGAACATGCAAACTCCAGGCAGGTATATTTTGCTTGCTCTGCTAAGCATTGCATACTGTAGGTATACAGATACAGAAAGCTAATTTAAACTGTATTGACATTAAAATTTTTTACTTCGCAGCAAAGCTGACACTTTGTTGTCATGCAATTCTGTCCGCAATTCCAGATGGCACTAAAATCACGGCAAACATGCAATTCGCGCGTGGGTGGTATTAAAATCTTAATGGCACTCCAAATAAAGTCAGCAAACTCACATTTTGTCACATGACAAACATGCCACAAATGCACCAAAAGTTGTACAACACACAACACTCCACGCCCAAAAAGGTGCAGGAACTTCTTTTTGCACATAGGGCAGTCCATTCAAGTGAATGGGCTGCCACAATGTGTGGTGCAAGGAAAAATGCTAAAATCATACAAAGAAAACGCAAATGAGACTACGCAAAGTGAGAATGGGGACATCATCTTTATAAGAGCTTTTTTGTTGTCTTTAAAACTGTTACATAGTTAGTCTGGCTGAAAAAAAAGACAAAAGTACATCCAGTTCAACCATAGAAGAAACAAAATTATAATCCTATACCCACAGTTGATCCAGAGGAAGGCAAAAAACCCAGCAAAGCATGATCCAATTTGCTCCTGCAGGGGAAAAAAATTCCTTCCTGATCCCCCGTGAGGCAATCAGATATTCCCTGGATCAACTTTACCCATAAATGTTAGTATCCAGTTATATTCTGTATATCTAAGAAACAATCCAGACCTTTTTTGCAGAAATCCACTGAGCTAGCCAGAACCAACTCTTGAGGGAGTCTATTCCACATTTTCACAGCTCTCACTGTGAAGAAACCTTTCCATGTTTGGAGATTAAATTTCCAAACGTAGAGTGCCCCCTTGTCCTCTGTGATGACCTCAGGGTGAATAGCTCTACACCGAGTTCACTATATGAACCACTGATGTATTTATACGTTGATCATATCCCCCCTTAATCTCCTTGTCAGGAATGGATTCAGCACTGGTGGTGGGACTCTCCTGCCGTGTGGGCTGCAGTACCAGAGCTGACCAGCGGGTGCTCTCAGCACTGGTGGTGGGACTCTCCTGCCGTGTGGGCTGCAGTACCAGAGCTGACCAGCGGGTGCTCTTAGCAGCCAGAAGCTCACAATCAGCCAAACCTGGGGCTGATTACAGAAAGGTGTATATAAGGCATGACCAGGCCTGTGCTCTGTGCCTTGGTGTATGTCTCCCCATGAGCCCCTGTATCCTGTTCCTAGTTCCTGTGAGAAGATACCTTGTTGCCGACCCTGCCTGATTCTGATTCCTGTTGACCGTCTCCTGTTCTGACTACTGGCTCATCCCTGACCATCCTTCTGCCTGATCCTCTGTACTGCGCTGTCCGTGAGTTACTGAACCCGGCTTGTGACCTTGACCATTCTCTGCCTGCTCCTTTGATACCTTGCTGCCCACACGTTGACTGACTTGGCCCGTCTGACCACGCTCACTACTCTGCCATCCATCCATCCTGCACGGATCCAGCCGTACCTGCACATACCTCTGGCGGATCCCTCTATCACTAGCAGGTGTACTCAGGGGCCGCGACCTGGTTCCTGTCTGCTCCAAGTCCATCCCCACCATCAGGGGCCCTGGTGAATAGCAGACTGGGACTTAGACTCCGCGCCCTGGGGAATCCTGCCCTGAGGACCGCTAGAGGTACCACCAGGCAGTCGTTACAGAACCCTACGGCCGGCCTGACCATTCCACCTCTCCAGCCCTGACTACGCCTGTGTTCCTGCACCTCCTAATATTAGTGGAAGGTTAGTTTGCTCACTGTGCGTTTATATATATATATATATATA